TGTGTCTCTGACCTGCATTCTTGACGGAGTATGCGCACACAAATTTTTAGACATCCAGCACTTATAATGGCTGAGATCCTCTAGGGTCGGGACTTTTGGCCACTACTGTAATTCGAAATGATGAATATGTATTCGTCTGAATAGTGACAAATGTATTTATACATGTCGAATAATCAATTCGTTCATTGTTGACTAATTGGTGAATATGAATAGACAAAATTGTGCTTTATTAGATTGATCATAAATGAAATGTGCATTCAATATGTACCTTAATTTTTATTCTTTTTCATGTTTCTTTACAAAATATTATCAACTAACTATATCAAAATAAGACAGAAGAAGATAATGAAACTAGAAGAGAAACCAGATAGTTCGTACGCGGATATTTTCTCATTTGGAAAAGATGTTTGTCGAACTGACTTTAGGAGAAGATTTTGAATTACGAATACATACTAACATTAAAGAAATAAAAATAATTGAATATGTTCAAATGATCATTTTAATTCTATCGCATAATTAACGAAATTTTCTAAGTGATCGAAAAATAAAAACACACGATATACATAAACGCTTTATTATATCTACTAATAAATCTCTTTCTTAGTAAATCAATCATACCCGTTGTTCTATAGTAAAGCTCGAAGAAATGATGAAAACGTAGAGTTGCATAGAGTGAATAAATATTCTCATGACTAATGAGATATTTTTTTTTTGATATAAAAATTAAAATATCTTTTTCTCAAGTATTTGTCCAAGTGTTTAGAAAAAAAAAGCAGAACTGAACATGTTAAAAATAAAATATTCAATTGTTGAAAATGATAATAGAATATTAATCTTTAACAATAAAGACCAAGTTTTCCGTTAGTAACAAAAAAGAAGACAGCTTATTTGGAGTTCATACTTTTCCAAAAATATGCCAGGTATATAGTTAATAGCGTAAAAATTCGATTATTAAATCTGTTTACAACATATAAATTTAGTTGACCATTCAATACCACTGCAGAAAGACTATATAACAAGTTGAAATCGTTGGCATATACACTTATGTTTCAACAGTCATCATGCCACTTAATTGACCTGTCAAGAATAACTGTATACAGCAGTGTCACATATCCAGAATATCGGCACGCTGGAGATGCCACGAGAGATGCCAAATTGCATCATAACATACTGTTCATATACTACATATATCTGCAATCCCTGTCAGACATGCGTCTCCAGCACATCTCCACAGGGAGATGCCGCATCTCCTAAATCTCCATTTCCTGATAAAAATTTTTTTTTTCGATTTTTAGGCTCGGACCCATGAAGGAGATGCGGTATCTCCTGTAGAGACGCCGCATCTCCAGCACATATCCACAGGGAGATGCCGCATCTCCCAAATCTCCATCTCCCTGCATATTCTGATAAAATTCTTTTTTCCGATTTTTAGGCTTGAACCCTTGAGGGAGATGCATCTCCTGTAGAGACGCCACATCTCCACAAGGAGATACCACCTCTCCCAAATCTCCATCTCCCTGCATTTCTTCAGGGTGTGGGTGTGGAGAAAAAGAATTCTCACACCCACACCCATCATCACTAGACTAGCATAACCTCCAAAGGATTTGTTTTTTCAATGTATTTTAATCGAGATATAAAATTTTTAAAGATAACGATTTCGATATGTTTACTATGAGAAAAGCGTGTTGATCCAAATTATGGAAAAGTCGTTATCTTTAAAAATTTCATATCTCGGTCAAAATACATTGAAAAAACAAATCCTTTGGAGGTTATGCTAGTCTAGTGATGATCTATCTTTACACAAAATATGAACTTTAAATATTCTAATAACATGAGTGATCCACGTCCTCCTTAGATGTTCCTTGAAAATGACCTGAAGCTATAGGATTTCAGATAGAAATTACAAAATTTTTTCGGCCAAAGTTACTTTCTGTCTACTATACACTCACACCAACAGAAAAAAATTGTTAAAAAAATACTTTTTCTAAAAATTGGTTGTTTTTCCATGGATTTACCCGTTCATATATTGTCTTTGTTTAGCTTTGGTTCTGGTATTTAAAACTAATTTAATAAAATAATATTTTTTCTTGTTTTTGCTTTGAATGAATAGAAAGTAATTTGTCATTTATATTAAGAAAAATTTTTACTGCAGAACTTACATTCATCATTTCTATATTGACTCTTTTTGATGATAAATAGTACATCCATCCTGATTATGAATATTAGTTTAATAATAGGCATCGATCAAATTTCGATGTTCTATTTTAATACATTCACAATAGAATGGTTATTTTTAGTATTAATCTAAGTGCAATTATTTTTCTTCCATTGATATAACACAAAGACAATCATATCGCATAACAATATGTCAATATCATGATCTATATTTTTCGCCTTGATTAAGAATAATATACAAAATCGATAGTAAATGTTTGTCTAACTATTAATTTTTAGTTCACTATAAAATCACTATGTGACCTGCATTATTTCAATTCAAAATAGTGTTGATTCTAACAGTACGTTAAAGACTATTATCATGGCAATTCTTAAAAGTATGATTATTTTCATTGTTATATTGTTTTTACAATTGTCTATAAGTTATGCACAAGAAAATGTATGTACATCAACAGCAATAGCTACATGTAATCCATATCCATGTGTTCAAACAGGTAATATTTTTTCATGTCTTTGTCCGGACATGACAACAAAGCCAAGTGCAGTAGAATGTAATGGTGGTGTAATTCCAAATCAATGTGGTAATGCTATATGTCCTGCTGGTGCTACATGTATACCAACAAATCAAAATCCAGCACTTTATATATGTCTTTGTCCAAATAATGTTATTGCAAATCCTAATTGTCCAACAAATCCATCAAATCAATGTTTGATAAATAATTTATGTCTAAATGGTGGCACCTGTATTACCAATCAATTCACTCTTCAAACAGTTTGTGTTTGTCCATCAGGTTATTATGGATTAAACTGTAATTATCTATGTGCTCCAAGATGTAATTCTCGTTGGTAAGAGTAATTTTAAAACAAAAAAAAAAATTCTTAAGACATAAGTCTTTGTTTTTAGGTGTTATAATGGTGGTCGATGTGTTAATGCATATGGTCAGCCATATTGTATCTGCGGACGCAACTATCGTGGTCGACGATGTGAACTTCGATATAATCAATTAAATTATGTTTATTTATACCAACATCCACGATGGTAATTAATTAACTTTGTTTTTTTTTCTCAATCGACAAATGATATTATTTTATTAAATCAATAAAATAAACCAATGTATGATTAAAAAAATACTAAGAGATAGTATTGATTGAATTTAATTTATGAAAAAACTTTGAAATTTAATGTAACATGAATTATTTTAGAGTTAAATCATTATTAATTGACCATTCATAAATAATAAGAGTTCTATTAACATTATTATAATTGAAAGAATCTTTTCATATAATTCAATACTTTTTGCGTAAAATTAAACTTCTCACAAACGGGCTGAATCATTGATTTTTATATAATTATTACATAGAATCGTTTTTTCTCCTTTTCTTTTATTTAAAACAACATCATAAGACTTACATTGTATAATATTCAATTGAGAACAGATCATGCTTGCTCAAGAAAGTTTAGCAAGTTGGTAATATGTATATACTATTTCGTCATAAGATTAGACCAGGGGTACTAGGATAATTCGTCACATGACATGTTGATCTTAAAATTCACAACGAATTAAAACAATGAATTAATAAAAATTCGTTGCTTTTTATTGATAAATATAATTGGAATGGAAATTATCTGTTCTGGTTCGATTTAGCAAGAGCACATTATTCAAATATTGCTCAAGAACGTTTAAACGAATAACACATACCATTTATTTCTCGTACTGACAATCTACTAAACGTATTTCAAGCTGGTCCGATGTAAATTTTATGGAGTTAGCTTGAACGAAAAATATATGAAAACAATTGGGAAGTAAAAAAGAAGCTTCGAGCTATGTGACGAGACGAACTATATTCAGTTCTTTAAATACAGGTTTTTTTGTAGTACTTGTCGTGCTCTTTCCAAAAATAAAATTAGCTACCTATCTTCTAAAGTGACTGAGCTATGCAACTCAATATTTTTCCAAAGACTTTTGCATTGCTTATTAATTGAAAGAAAATAGTCTGCTTCTACCATAGGTTAATGAGAAGAATTAAAGAGTATTTTATTGAATAAGAGAACAGACTTATCGTCGTTGAGGTTAACTCCTGAGTGTCTATCTATTAACTTCATGGGATAACTCGTTTTTCATCAACAAAAATGAACACATTTTCATAGGTTTTTGCGCGTTTAGCTTCGTCAGAATTCTAAGACAGCTACTATTCAATTATTTTGTTTTTATTTCTTCGGCCATTAATTCATGTTGATTCTCTTGAGAAATACATAAAAATAAAAGTAATGAAAATTTTAAAAAAGAATGAAAGAGATTACTACGTAATCGTACTCACTGATGTTTGTTTGCGAGATGATCTACGAAATCAAGATTTATCTGATTGAGTGAAATTTATACCAAAAAACTTCGTTGGTTTCTTCGAATTTTGACTAATTTGAATTTTTGATTGGTAAAAGTTCAATTTGAAGATGTCCGACTGACTATATTTTTACCCTAGTGAAACATCTTGTAAGCAAGATCTTGGCCGAGATATAAGGTACAGAAATGTAAACAGATCTTGAAAATTTAGATACAAGATAATCATATTATCTTGTACTTACAAGAAAAATCAATAAACTTAACATATATAGCATTTTTTACAGTTGTGTTTTCGCATATTTTTCATTTTGATTCATTTACATATACGCCACTGTAATTGAAAAAGACGGATCTAATATACATAAAGAAGACTATGAATAATAATACTAGGTGTTATTCACCATCAGCTTATACAACCGGACATTATTAAACACCCCTGTAACTTCATTTCTACTTTTGGTATATGTAAATGAATCAAAATGAAAAATATGCGAAAACACAACTGTAAAAAATGCTATATATATTTTAAGTTTGTTTATTTTTTTTTATATACAATGATTTAATCCAAATAAAATATATGGAATAAAAGTACATGTTAAGTTGTATGGTTTGATTTGTATTCATTATCATCAAAAATTAGATTTAAAAACATCTCTCACAACTTATGGGACATCCTGTATCTTTAAAGTATCATCTAATATTTCGAACTATTAGGTTATTCCAAAAGTCCTGGCAACTACTCTCCTACTGCAAGCGTGAAACATACGGTTTCCACCATTGTGTCGAGCGTTCATTTTTAGGATGATACACAGCTATTGGATCGATTGCTTCATTACCTTCTTAGGAAAAGAAAAGAGTTTTCACTCCCGTGTCTGCCCGCGCTTCAGGTAACACACTTCGGAATTCACATGTCAATGAGATACCTGTTTTACAAATATAGATAGATAGCTTTGCAGAGCTCATCAAGACCTACAAGATGCACTATTTGGGTTTGAATTTGGAGTGAGTTAAGATGTTAAAAATGGCTGTTTGGCTGTGAAGCACCTTGAAACTATGAATATCTCGCAAGTAAAATATGCATTTTTCTTCGAAATCTTCCTTGATCACCCTGAAAATTCAATCACCGAGATAGTTTTGGCTGTTCTTTCGACTGATAGTCTCTAAATTTCAAAATTCTCTGGTCATGTGTGGAAGATTTTCTAGAGACCCTCTGAAAAATGTCAGGATTTTCGACGAACATCTTTTTATTTTGATTCTCAAAGATTGTAATCCATATGAAATTGTATCTACCCTACAATTTTCGTCTATCAACGCCTTCTGGACAACAAGATACAAAGGTATTAAGCCACTCTCATATCTGAAAAAAGATCGACCTGCTTGTGAAAACTTCTTTCTTTTTCCAAGAAGGCAATGAAACAATTTAGTTAAAAGCGGTGTAACATCCTAGAAATCAGCACTCTACAAATTGGTGGAAACTATGTGTTTTACACTTGCAGTAGAAGGATAGTTGTCAGGACTTTTGGAACAACCTAATACATCATTATATTAATTGATTACTTCATCGATTTTGAGCTTTATTATAGATTTTTTTTTGTTTTGATACACTAACACTCCAAACAATTGTATTTGATAAGAAAGAAAAGTAATTTTTGTATCGGATACTAATAAATGTTCTATTTAATTTTATATAATAAAAACCAATAAGAATTGAAGATGATATAGAATAGTTTATCCTGCTTATGTTTACTAGACTTAAGCATGAATCTTCCAAAACATGTATTATCTATGTAATTCCATCAAGTAGTCGTAATTTTATTCTTCGATCGATGCCTCTTATTACATTGAAAGTAGTTCTAGAACATAATACAAAACATATGTCGATCTATTGTCAAGTTATTGATTAAAGCATTCGACTTAATGAAATGAGTTTTCAGCTCTTAATTTAATTTTTGTTTTTTTATTGTCAAGATCTTTTTAAAATTCTTTCTGATTGATTAAGATAATTTGTCAATTTCAATTGATAAGAGAAATTTGAAAAAGCAAATTTTGAAAATTGGAAAAAAAAATATTCATAATATTAATTGAAAAATAAAGATTATAATTGGATAAAAAATAATATTATTTTAATTAACTGTAAACAGATTTATACAGAACATTATTCTTGTGAAATAATCTCAATACAATATGAGTACTGAACATAAAAACGATCAGAATTTTTGATTAAGTTATCAATTCATTCGATAGTCGAAGAGCAAAACTTTTGCAATATTTTTTGTTTTACATGTATGTCCGTTCAGGAACATGATAGAAAGCTGTTTTTTGTTCCAAAAATGCATCATTTAATACTCGATCATAATTGCGAAACTCAATCTTTCTAATTCTTTTTTGATATTTCAATAGATTAATAAAGTTGAACATATCATCTTATTGTACTACTTTCGATTGTAAGACATCTGAAAAACCCAGAAATGACGAGTTCCAAAAATCGACTATTAGAATTATTGTCCTTTATGATTATCTCCGTTTGACATCTTTTTCCCATTTTGAATATCTGAACTGTCTCAGATTTCTTATAATAAGAAGTAATGCAACAATAGACATATTTACTTTTATTGATCTATTAAAATTTCGAGGAAAAAAAGTTAGAAAGATTTTGTTTTGCAATTCCGATAAAGTATTAAATAGCGCATCTTTTGAAAAAAATCATCAGTCTTTGAATATATTCTACGAATCAGAGGTCGAATCGAACCGAGTTTTTCTGGATCGAGTTCGGTTCGGTTCGGGTTCATTTTTCAAAAATTAGTTCGGGTTCGGTTCGGTTCGATCTCACTTTTGAAAACACGGTTCGAGTTCGGTTCGGTTCGGGTTCATTTTTCAAAAATCAGTTCAGGTTCGGTTCGGTTCGACGTCTTTTCCAAGAAAATGGTTCGAGTTCGGTTCGGTTCGGCTTATTTTTAAAAAATCGGATCGGCTGCGGTTTGACCGGAGTAGTATTACTGTCACTTAATCAAGACTAGACCAGAAGTCAAAACTTAGTTCTCAGGCGATCAGAAGTGTCACACAGAAGCTCATGTTGGTATCAAATAACATTAATAAATACATTTGGGTGTTACC